CAGGGCCTGGTCCGCCCACCCCTCCGGCAGAGCCCTGTGCCCCTTCCTGTGGAGCCGTGTGCCCCCCTCGCCTGTGGGAGCCGTGTGCCCCCTTCCTGTGGGAGCCGTGTGCCCAGCTGTGTGCCCCTTCCTGTGGAGCCGTGTGCCCCCCTCGCCTGTGGGAGCCGTGTGCCCGCCTCACCTGTGGGAGCCGTGTGCCCGCCTCACCTGTGGAGCCGTGTGCCCCCCTCACCTGTGGGAGCCGTGTGCCCGCCTCACCTGTGGGAGCCGTGTGCCCCTTCCTGTGGAGCCGTGTGCCCCCCTCGCCTGTGGGAGCCGTGTGCCCGCCTCACCTGTGGAGCCGTGTGCCCCCCTCACCTGTGGAGCCGTGTGCCCCCTCGCCGGGCGGCCCTCCGACACAGGCCCGAGGCCTCTGATGGCAGCAGCGCTTTTCTGCGTTTGAAGTGCCAGGAGCCATGGGCAAGCTCAGGGAAAGTGGAGTGATTTATTAGACTCATAAAAATTCATGCTTGCGATTCCAGTCATCCCGTCTGAAGCTTGTTAGAGCGCATCCCTGGCAGCTCCCGCCGTGTTCGCGCGGGGGTGGGGCGTGCACGTCTCCTGCCTGGGCTGCCTTCGAGGCCCCTTTGAGGAATGGACGGCTGCAAGCTCCGGAGTGAATGTCCCGGGTGGGCAGGGCTTTGCTGTCAGCCTGGGCTCTGCCCTCGTGCTCCACCCCTGCAGCCGGGCTGGGCAGCAGGACCCCTCCCTGCAGGGCGGCGCGGTCTGCGGTGTGTGCCCGGCAGTCCACAGGCGTGGCGGGGCCTCCTTGCTTTCCAGGCTGGTCCGTGGCAGTGGAGCCCCCGCCCTTCCTGCGACCGGAGCAGGTCTTCTGGGCCTGGCGGGCAATCCCTCTCCTTCCCTGGGCTCCGTCTCCCCGCTGTGCACCTGGGAGCGCCGTGCCCTGCCCGCTGTGCCGTGCGGTGGGCACTAGTCTGTGCGGAGGAGACGGGGGGGACAGAGGCTTCCACTGCTCCCAGCAAGGATGCTTCCCCCTCCCACCGGCCAGGGCCAGCCTCCTGTGTCCTCCCCCTCCCACCGGCCAGGGCCAGCCTCCTGTGTCCTCCCCCTCCCACCGGCCAGGGCCAGCCTCCTGTGTCCTCCTTCCCACCGGCCAGGGCCAGCCTCCTGTGTCCTCCCTTCCCACTGGCCAGAGCCAGCCTCCTGTGTCCTCCCCCTCCCACCGGCCAGGGCCAGCCTCCTGTGTCCTCCTTCCCACTGGCCAGAACCAGCCTCCTGTGTCCTCCTTCCCACCGGCCAGGGCCAGCCTCCTGTGTCCTCCCCCTTCCCACTGGCCAGAACCAGCCTCCTGTGTCCTCCTTCCCACCGGCCAGAGCCAGCCTCCTGTGTCCTCCCTTCCCACCGGCCAGGGCCAGCCTCCTGTGTCCTCCTTCCCACCGGCCAGGGCCAGCCTCCTGTGTCCTCCCTTCCCACTGGCCAGAGCCAGCCTGCCACATGAGCGTCCGCGCCAAGCCTGGCTCCCACACCCTGGTTCCCTGCCTGGCACTGGCAGCGGCTGGCGGTGAGAGAGCCGCCCTGAGAACCACCCTGCCCACCCACCAGGACCTCCTGCTGAAGCTCTCTGGCCGGTGGGGCTGGAG